CAGTCATCTAACTGCATTTCCTTTTCCAAACAGACATTAGATGCTGCACAAGAAAGTAAAAAAGACATTACAAAACAGTCTTCCCACATTAAAAGCTTCTTCCTAATTTTCTATAAATAGAATCAATTTTGAATAAGAAACATTCTGTACAGTTTGTGCAGCCTGAAAGACAACCTGCTCCAAGAAGCTAGGAAATAATACCTTAGAATGGTCTGTACTAAAGCTTTCACTGCAGAATCTGTTTCATCTCCTGGACATCAAAGGGGGTTTTGTCATGCGTTCGCAGCGTATTTGGACAGAAGGAAACACTGTGATAGTGAGGTTTGATCTCTGTGCAACACAGACTATATGACCGATCTATGAATTTTCACACCTAGACAATTTTAGGGAGAACAAGACAAACTCTTGTGGTCTTCGATAGTTTCTCTTGGTATCTGCCTCACCAGGTGCCTGCCGCAGGTGCTTTTCTTGTTCTCAAATCCAAATGCTGACTGATAACATTTGACAAATCAGAATAAGTTTTATACTGAAAGTCTGCTCAGTCTGCAGCCAGACTGGAACCTTTTAATATTTTCCTTGCTGTATTATGTTTACAACATGATTTAGAGTGAATGGGAGGAAAACACAATAATGTTTCAAACAAGTATTATTCAAGTAAGTTAGGGGAATCAAAGCACAAGGAGACAGTGTGGGTCAAATTTAGCCTGTAAATGACTTCTATGCTGCAAAGGTCATATTAGCCCTTACAATTCCTAGAGTAATTAAAGAGGACACTCTGAATTATGGCACCTGTATCATGACTACTTTTAGACTTTGCTTCAGATCTTGCATCTGCTTGATACTTTCACCTGTCTTCTGATACCTACTATGTGTCTTTGCTTCTTCTTGAAATTAGGAAACTTTACCCTAGGATGCAGTAACCCTTTTTTCCTCATGCAAATGCAGAATATGAGAATAAGAAAGAGGGCCAAAATGAGTCTTAAAATAGGAAAGTCATCATAAATGTTTTCAACATTTTATTCCCTTAGGTTCTCTTTTTTAGATTTTTCTTTACTCTTTAACTTTCATTTTTCCCCTTGCAAATACAAATCTTGTAACACCTTAAAATTCAAAACACCATCACATTTTTGCTAAGACTTTATTAATACACATGTTTAAGAACATAAAATCCATAGACAACCCTGTGGGTTTTAGAACCCTTTGAGAGCTTCCATATTTTAAATTTTGCCTTTATATATACTGGTTATCACAGCCTGTCCAAGTAAGTAAAACTCCAGCTCGAAAAGCAAATACACTATGTGGAGAATAATAAAAAAGAGATACTTCATATTACATTTTCAAAGTAGTCTATTTGCTATACAAGGCTAAGTAACCTAAAGTCAAAACCAAAAATCATCTCCTCCACTGCTCCTTGTACTTGCTCTCTCTCTGCTTTTTAACCGTAACATATCCAAGACACTGCGTGCATATACGTCTCGCAAATTAACATTGATATTTGAGTCACTGGATGAGTTCTTTGTGAGTTTCTTTAAAGCTTCACGCTGCCGAAGAGCAGCTTCTTTTATCTTCAGTGTAAAATAACAAGCAGAAAAACGGTCATTTATTATAGCTATTGGCAAAGCCAAAACCAGTATTCCTGATAGTATACACATAAAAGCCACTACCTTACCAATGGTAGTGTCTGGCCGAATGTCCCCATAACCAACAGTTGTCATGGAAGTTGTTGCCCACCACCAAGCACCAGGAACACTTGTGAAAGTTGTGCCTGGCACACCTTGCTCAACAAAGTATTCCACAGTGGAAAATATGGAGATTCCTACGGAGAGGAAAAGCAGCAGGAGGCCAACTTCCTCGTAGCACTGTGCAATAGTCATCCCGAGAGACCGCAAGCCTGAAAGATAAGAAATGTTGTCAATAGGTTGATTCATATAGCTGCCTGTATAGCTTGGCAAAACATCCATTATTTGAAAGCTGACTGCCTCATGCTTTTTCTTTGGCTGCTGGTAGGAAAAGTGGGTGCTGGTCCTCTCTGCTACTGGGAAAATGTGATTTAAAAAGAAGCTGATTAAAATGGTAGATTGAGCCACTGACATTTTTTGACTGTTCATAACACTCATTACTATTTCAATGACAACACACTGATGATGTAAACTTGATTCTAAAATTGACTATAACGCAGGATCTAGCACAATTTTTAGTAAGTTATCCATTTATATCCAAGCACACTGAAAACATCTGCTCTTTATTTCCCATCTGAACGTTAGAAGCTTCTGTTTTCCAGCTTCTGTCATTTTTGTTGGACTGAGTAGCCCTCTGTCATCAAATCTCTGTTCCCAGATGGATGCTTAGAGCCAATTCCTTGTTATATCCAGTATCTTGTTGCTTACTAAAGACTGTTTTCAATCCTTTTATAATTCTCATAGACTCTCTTTCAACCTTCCCCCTAACCTATAGTATCTTTCTTTAACTGCAGACATCAAAACAGGCACCATATTTCAGCAGCAGCTGCACTTATGCCAAAACAGGAGGTGACAGCAGCTCCCAGTTCAAACAGGGTATTGGAAATTCCCTGACGTCCTGCATCAGGCCCACGGCCCCGAGCTGTGCAGGGAGCTCATGCGCAGCCGACTGTTCACAACCTCCCCTGTTCTTTTGAGAGCTGCCGCCTCAAGCAAGACCGCCGGCAAGCGAAGCAGGGAGGTTGGTTGTAACCGTGCCGTGGCCAAATGCTGCACACGTGGACTAGGGAGGACGGGAACGGGGCATCATCTCTGCTGAGATACGTGGCAGGCTGAGATTATCTTTTGAATCACCAGGGATTCAGGATTCTTCTTATCCTCTTCTTTGAAAATGTGCTATGTTTTCTTCACGAGGAAAAGAAAAAAAAATACAGTGCTTACAAATTACCTTTCATGGTGTACCCTTCTACCGCAATCAGTGTTTGAAAAAGAGCTCTGTGGAGCTCTGCTTCTGCTTACAGACTTCATAAATCCACTAAGGTAAATGTTGTGCCTTACCTTCCATAATCTCAGACTAAAATAAATTAAAATTTCCTTCTTCTTTTTGGATCTGTTTCTTTTCCCTTTCATCTTTAAAGAGTTTTAAAGGGCGTTGTGAATGTACAGCAAAGAGTGGAATTACCCACTGGAGAGAGTGTTTTCTTTTTTTTTGTATTTTCTTCTACCTAGTCCATTTAAGAGTTTAATCACATCTAGGTTTTACATTACTCTAACTATGGCCTGTTGCTTACAATGTTTATTATAATGAAGTAGTTTAATTTTGTAACACAAGGGGAATAAAACGTATCAATGTATGTTTTTTCTATTAATACAACTGCCTCCACATTACGGAAATACACTGTCTGGCTAAGATTAAAGCAGTGTGAAAGCTGTGCATATGACAACTGTAAGAATACAGCTCACACAACTCTCTTATTCCAAGGAAGTTAATATCATCCCTTGCCCCACAAAACTGAATATTGAACAAGGTGCTCCAGTGACTCTGCCTGGGCAGGAGCGGTTGGACTAGATGATCTCCACAGGTCCTTTATGACCTTAATCATTTGCGGAAGGTAGAAGAATAAATCCTTTCAAGGGACCTATGTGCAGAGCCTCACATTTAAAACTGTGGGTGCCACTTCTTTTTAAACCATAAATGAGTACTGTAAATACCAGTATTTGCTTCTAGTGATAGATCCTGAGAGCAAAAAGAGTGCCACTTTCACATAAACCAGGAAAGGAAGAGAGGGACAAGGCATAAGGAGGGATAAAAAGAAATGGTGCAGTGACTGCTACCTCTTTGCATCAATCACATTGATGAAGCCTTCAGTAAAAGATTTTTTTCCCAATAATTAATTATTCTGCCTGCCATGGAGCCTGAAATTATCATTCGTACTTCTATTATCCTCACTTCAAAGAAAGATACTGAAAAACTGCTAAAAGTGCAGAAAAGTATAATAAAAATGATTCAGTGTCTGGAAAACCAAAGCTCAAGTTGACTCAGTTATCAAAAAGAAAAATAGATACTAAAGAACTATCCTAGTTATCAGAAAAAAAAAAGTTACTAGATATCTCTTAAATTTGCTAAAAATCAAATGAAGAAATAATGCCTGGGTCTTGAGGTTCAAAAAATTCAAAATAAAATATTGTGGTGATGGTGAGAAATGACTAGAACGACATCAGTCAAGTGGTGGTTCTCCACCTCTTACTGTCTTCAGATAAAGCCAGGAGACTTCTTCAGATTAACTCATCAACAAGCTTACTGGACTTGACCGCACATTCTAAGTGGGAATCAGGATTTATGGTGTAAATCTTCAAAGGAGTAATGCTATATTACAACTTTGTAAAATAATGTGTCTGAACCCTAGCTACCAGTCAAGCAAGGGCTGCTCCAGCATGGACACCTCACCAAGCCTCTTCCTCTGAGACAAATTCCCACCTTCTACTTTTCCTCAAAGAGCCACTCTACAAACACATCCCAGAGAGGGACCAGTGAGGCTCAACAGAAAATGCAGACACAGAGGGAAGGCAATCATGAGGAGCATCAGAGAATGTGAAAAATGCAGGCTCACCTATTCCTGAAGCCATTCAGATCCACTATTTCATTATCTCTGTAGCCACGCTGTTTCTAGATAGGGACACTGCTAATTTCTCACCACTCCTTGAAAAGCTATAGCACTTTGGATAAATAATTAATCTTTGCTCCAATGTAGTCCAAGTATGTGTGTGTGTGTATAAATATATATATATAAATATATATACACACACACACTGTATACCCTATTAGCTGAGCTCAGCTTTCAAATGGGCAGAAATTAATCTTCTATTTCTTTATCTCTTCCCCAAGAAAGAAGTTAATCTGCCATTTCATTAAAATAAAGGAAAAAGACTAGACTTGATTATTTTTCCTACACTATTTTTATCTTTCATAGCAGAATCAGGCTCCTCTTAGGATCCCAGCTTTGCTGTAGGTCTGCACAGTATTACAGAGATAACATCCCGCTTGTGCCAGGCTATGTCTCTGCTTTTAGGTGGCCAGCATGTGAGGCCTCTGTGATAGGAAATGAAAATATATGGCTGCAGTGTATAAAACATAATGGTGAGAAACACACAAAGCTTTGTCTGGTCTGGGAGTGCAGGAGCCTGCAAGGCAGTTTTAAGTTGCCAGAGTTGGTACAAGACCAGCTGGCAAAAGTGTGAATCCCACCCCAAAACCTGGAGGTTTATCACAACTGCCTCTGTGTGCTAAAGAATGCTGGCTGTGTAGGGTAATTAGGGAGGTCCAGCAACTAGAGCGAAGGACGTACACAGAACTGTATTATCAAAATAGCCTTCTACTACATACCTTGATGCTTGGAAACCAGGCTTCAGATTTTTTTTTTCCTGTTTTTAATCATTATGATTAATTTTTTTAGTAGCACATCTGCTCTGAGGAAAGATTGAGACTGTGACTTTCTACATTTAAATGACACAGAAGCTGCCTGATTTATTTTAATGTTCTCCGCCTAAGTGAATGGCAACCCTGAACTATCAAAGAAGCAAGGACACTGATAGCAAAGCTGTTCTGAACTGCTTAAATATATACCCTAGATGCTTCCTATTCTGTATGTTAAAACTGGCACTTTTCAATTCCAGTGTAAAGATGGAAGTTCACTCTCAGATTAGGAAACTGGATTTTGAAAACTTAAATATTTTTTTTTTTACCTAATATGGCAATTAATTTATTAGACTCTTTATGGCACTTGGTATTATGATACAAAGTGATGTGGTAATATTTAAATGAATTTACCTTTAGAAATAAATAGATATAAAAGTCTGGACTATATTTGAAAGTCAGTCCATTTGATGTCAACAGCTGTCAACAACTGTTAAATTATTTTTAACAGCTATTGCAAAAAGTGGGTGACAGGGCTCTCTTGCAAAGCAACTGTTTTTAGTGCCTACTGCAATAAAATTATAATGAAGCAAAACAAACTAATCGACAGACTGCATCATATTAGCCTCCTTTCATCTGCTTTCTACGTAACACTTATATAGGCATAATAGTAGTAGGGGAGTATCATACTCCAAAACTACTGTCACTATGCTTGGGAGCCTTAAAGTTATGCCCTGCCACTGCTAGATGGGTTCACCTCACTTTGGTGGAACAGAAGCAGAGAGACAGGTTGCTGTCTCATACTGCACAGCCTGCCAGCGCGGGGCCAGTTCACAAAGAGGGCCATGTGGGAGCCATCTCCAACCTCTTCAAACCAGGCTATTATTACAGTCAGGGCACAGAAATGATTTACTCTTGCAGCTCTGATTCTTCAAAGCTGATCATTCTCTACCCATTAGAGTCTGATTATTTTGGGGGATGGTGTAGACAGATAAAATCCTGAACTACTTCTTTGCACATTCTTTTAATGCAATACATTGTGCTAGATAATTATAAGCAGTCACTAGTCAGCTTACTGATCTACTACTAGTCAGTAAGTGACAATGGTCACTTACTAATTCCCATGTGTCCTTCCTAACTGAATCAACTTAAATATATATTTGTAAATAAAACACTGGTGAACAACCTAAAGTGTTCAACTTTAGACTCTGGTTTTTTTGAAGCGTTATGGAGAAGTTAATGGAGAAGTGGTTCTCCACCGTCATTCAATTGCTGAAAAATTGCTGTCCAAAAATAAAATTTCAAAAAGACGTATTGCTAACATTATATTGCATAAATTGGTTAGGCAGAAATTCACACAAAATGGACAACTTGACTCAGATATATTTTATAGGTGGCAGCAACTAGAAGTATCACTGCCATGACCGAAAGTACCTGTTGAATGCCTTCCCAGCTTCAACATCCGCAGCGCTCTGAGCAGTCTCAGCACTTGGACAATGCGCCCCACATTTTCCAGTTCTTGGGAGCTCTCCCCACCACACAAACTCTCTACTAGCAGGGTGATGTAGAAAGGTAAAATAGCAAGGAGATCTATGATGTTTGCCACACTCCTTAGGAAGCGACACCGATCCCGTGTACATAGGAATCTCAGAAGAAACTCCACAGTGAACCACGCAATGCACAGGTACTCTAGAGCATCCAGGAGTGGTGGTGCCAGCCAGCTTAGCTCTACTGAAATCAAAGCCATGTTGGCAATGGACACAACAACGAAAGCCATGGATAGAGTCCCAAAAGTCCTGGCTGCTGCAGAAGAGCCAGGCTTTTCCAAAACTTCCCAAAGCTTCTGTCTGACATTAGGACAGAGGCTACCAGAAAAGTCTTCTTCTTCATCTTGGGCATCCAGTTCTTCTGCATCTTTCTTGATGTCTAAGGCTTCGCTCAGCTCCTTTCTCCTGAAGTACCTGTTCAGGAACACCCCAAAGAGATATTTAATATGGACATGCATACATTTTTTTTCTTACTCTTTACCATGTGAGGCATAAGAACATACATGAAAGCACATCTTAAAGGAACTCAGAAAACCCTGATGTCAAGCATGTGATTGAGCATTTCGTTTATCTGAGAGCCTATAATATATTCCCACTGACTTGATTCCTCCACTGTACATCAATGACAGTTTGTATATGCAGAGTATTTCTATAAAATCAGGCCAGACCAAAGATATAATCTGCCTTTATTCTGGCAGAGTGTTTTTTTATATGCGTAATCTTGACTAGAGTAAGATTAATGTATTCCTATAAGGAATCATGGCATAATGAGACATTCTGTTCCTATTTTAAGAAATATATTGCATTTTTATTATTTTGGCATACATCCGCAATCTTAAAAGGAAAGGCATAATAAAAGCTATGCAGTTTATGTATGAAGTTCTTATGTATGACGTCTGAAATGCATGTTTCTTGACTGCCTCCAATGTTACACCTTAGAGTAAGAGGCTATGCAATTTTGCCCTCATTTGATACACGTTTACTCTTGAGTATGCTGGAAGGATGTGTAGTAACGCCCAATTGTACTGCCAAAGAATTAGGACCTTTCAATTACACCCACAGGGGATGGAGAAAAGGAATCAGTTCACTTCTTGCAAATGTGTAACTGGACCATGCAGAGGTAGGATACATCTGGCACTGTTCTATGGACATGCTTGTTCCTCTTTCTTACAATTCTAACACAGGTGTTTTAGATACATAGCATCTATACTCTTTGGAGTATTCATTTCCTCAATAATAACAAATAAATCAGAAATACTAAAAAGGAAGCAGAGGGAAGCAAAAAAAAAAAAAAGAGTAACTGCAAATAAAATTTGCAGAAACATCCTGGGGGTGGTTCAGTCAAACCCACCTCTTTTCTGTGCTGCCTGTTACAATTTGTCTCCAGTGAGCCATGTTCCTGCTGCTGCTGCCCCCTCCCTGGAAGCCTTTCCATCCATGTGTGATGCTTCCCGTGGGGCTGCTGGCTCCTCCTGGAGCCATTCCCACCCACAGACGTGCAGGGGACCACCCCCTTCTGCCTCCCCACTTGGGACATGAAGATCCTACAGAAGGGCACGTGAGAGATGGGGAAGCTTCAAACCCTAGTGGCTACAGGCCTCACTCCACATCCAACCCCCTCTGCCTAGTACTACCCAAAGCTGGATGACACGCAAGAACATCCCTGCTTTCACAGCCCTTCTCGTCTCTGGTGACATCTCTTTCCATTTAGAGCTTCCGGTACCAGCCTGAAAGTGGCGTAGGTAGACACAGACCTTGCGCCTGTGAAGCTCTCACCATCTTCTCCCTCTACCAACTTGCCCCTCAGAGTAAATAAAAGTCAACAGTGATCTCCCTCAGCACATCTCCTCCCACTTCCTACCCTGCCATCTATAAAGTAGGATTTCACTGATGAATTCATCCAGTGTTGGACATTGCAGCTCTTTCTTTTCCTAATGCTCCACCACCTCACCTTCCTCACACTGCTGGATCTCTCACCTGACTGACCCCGTGACAGAAGTCACTACTAAGCTCATCCAGCCCACACTCCTGTACTTCTATTCCCAGAGCAGGAATCGAAGCTGAGCTCATCCAGCCCCCAGTACTGGATCTCTTGAAGGAAGGAGAGTGCACAGAGCTGCTCCATCACGTGTAATCTCCCTGTCTGGTAGTAATTCAGGATGTAGTGAAATGCCTGTGAGCTCCGGTCAAAGAAATATTCATTCTCCATGAGGTTGGCATCATCACAAAGCTCGAGAAGGCCAGAAGCTACATCCCGGGCAGCAGAGACCACTACGGCCAGTTTGCCAAGGCGGGTGTCAGGGTAGCAAGACAAAGTTTGCTGGGACATCACGAAGCGGCTACCTCCTACATTGATAGTGAAGCAGTCCAAGGAGGGAATGACCTTCTGAAGCAACGGGCCCTGGTCTTCCTCACTAGAGAAAACACTGGAGTCCAGGGAGCCCAGGGATGTGCTATTCCCCTGTTCCTCCAGGGATGCTTGGGAAGAAAGAGACATGCAGCAGGGAGGCGACTTCATCCTGCAGCTGCCAGCAGCAGCCCACACTCTCTTGGACTGAAAACAGAACTGAGCTGTGGAGAATATAGCCCCACCGGGGGTGGGCCGGGCCAGATTATGAGTGTGCTCCTCTCAGATGCTTTCTCTCCTGTTCCAGGGGTATCTCACCATTCCCGCTTCCTCCGAGTGATTTCTCCATCTGAGACTGTGGTGCAGGGTGCTGAGCAGCTCAATACTACCTACAACAATGACGATAAAGATGTAATAACAGTAACTGAGACAATTTCACCTCGCCCTCTCCATGCCACTGGCCAGCTGGACATGCCTGGCACCATCTGCTAGCAACGACCCACGAAGCCCCCTGCACTTCAGTGTTAATCTCTGACGGCTTGATCAAGCACCCGATGAAGCCAAGTGCAAGTGAACCACAGGAAAATGAAACACTGGTCCCTGCATCAGGTTCGAAAGCTGTTGGGCAGCAGGTGGGTGAGGTGCTGCACCCAGCAGCACTGATGCTCCTCAGCCCACTGCACAGTCGCGCTCCACAGCCCTTCCTGCCTGCCCCATAGCCCTCCACATGCCCCAGCCATGCCCCACAGCCTGCCCCACGTGCCCCACAGCACCCTCCACCCCCAGCCTCACAGTCTGCCCTAACGTGCACCCTCTCCACCTGCCCC